TCACACACTATGCATAGTCGGTCAGTTCATTTCTTGTATGCATCATGACATAAGAGGGTCTTTAGGAAGAATATGAATATGCAGAGGGTACTGGCTTTGCAGAGTGGCTGAGAAAGGACATTATATACACAAAGAGGCCCTGTACGAGAATGTGCAGAAGTACCTCTGAAAGAAGCAGATAAAAGAGGTGTTCTGCACCTCTCTCTGAAACAGTGAGAGCGGCCACGATCAGAGAGTGAATACAGGACTAGATGAGCCAGTGGTCTAGTCCAGTATGTCAATTGCTGCACTTCCTCCTGTGCAAGAAAAGATAGAATCTAGCCTTCAACTCATCTTTCTAAGATACAACCTGTTAAAATAGCTGCTAACATGCAATGTTGCTAATATATACCCAATGACTGATTAAGCCAGAGAACTGACAAACAGAAAGAGTTCTAGCCATGAAGACAATAGTCAAAATAATGCAAATTTTAAAAACTGTTCTGTACGAATTTCATCTTTAGCAGAAGCAACCAGGTGTTTTGTTGGAACCTGGAGGAGCTCAATATTTTATTAAAACTAACTGATTTTTGCTGATGGTCTCACATCAGAGTTTATAATTTTTGTTTATTGCAGTTTGAGATAGCTCAACTTTGCTCCTAAGAATGAACTGAAATGCCAAAGAATGGATTAATTTTATTACTTGGTTATCAAAGAGGTTTTATGTTTATTTTCCCAGAGCAGATACTAAAGAATCCAAAACATGATAAGAAACATCATGATAAGAAAAATTAGTAAAGAGAAAAAATGAATAAAAACAGATTTTACATTTAAAGATTTGTGTTTAATGTATATTATTCATTAATAACAACTTCCAAAAGCAGCACTAAAAGGCTTAAACTCTTCAAAGGCTCAATTAAAAACAATAGTTTGGGGCGCCAAATTCTTTTAGAAGCCTCAAGGAGTCTTTGCAGTGGATTTTCTGAAGTAAATTTTTGGGGAATTAAAATAAAAGACATGAATGCTCGCATAGAAAGTTTTGTCCTTCTGACAGTTTTTAGAGGAAGAACAACATTGAAGGTCCTTTACTGGCAGAGCCTAGCCTGTAGCAGTGGCTCTCAGGATTGGTCTTCCTCTAAAGTTCCAAGGAGGCATTGCAGACTCATTGTCTAAGGCCTTGTCTACACTACCAAGGTTTGTCAACAAAAGGCAGCTTTTGTCAACAAAACAGTGAATGCGATGCAACTTTTGTTGGCAAAAATGCTCCGTTTTGGTGACAAAATACAACCACCCCGAGAGACATAAATCTTTTTCCTCTAAATTTTTGTCGACAAAATGCCAGTGTAGACACTACACCTGATTTTATTGCTTTAATTGGCCTCCAGGAGGTGTCCCACATTGCCCACTGTGACTGCTCTGGTCAGCAGTTTGAACTCCACTGCCCTGCAGCCAGGTAAACAACCATCTGCCCCACCCCTTAGAATATGGAGAGAGGAACCTGTACAGTCACAGCTGTGCTTGAGCCGTAGGAATTGGGATACGTACGGACACGTTCCTCGAGGCTTGTGTGAAAAGAGCTACGATCAGGACATCCTGAAGTGCAGAGCAAAGATAAGGTAGCTGAGGCAGGCGTACCATAAGGTGAGGGAGACAAACCGTTGCTCCAGTGCTGCACCTAAGACCTGAAATTCTATAAGGAGGTGGACACTATCCTCGGAGGCGACCCCACCTCCACTGCCAAGCCCTGTGGATACTTCGGCGGGCCTGGAGGTGGTGGAAAGAGGATCTAACCTGGAGGACGAAGTCACTGATTAGATGATGTGGAGTTCCCGGCGGGGTCGCCCAGTGGGGCAGGCAGCCAGGAACTGTTCACCACTCCAGAGGTGTCTAGCCAGTCTCAGCGGTTACTCTCCAGTGAGCAAGAAGCAGGAGAGGAGACACCTGGTAAGTGGCTGTGGTTTGTGTACTGTGGAGGAGAGTTCAGGGTATAGAAATGTTTAAGGCTGGCTGTGTTTCTGTGAGCTGGACATTTGCCTGTGTAGCTAATCAGTACAGCAGAACAGGATGTTGATGCACATTGAGATCTCATGGGAATCCTCCAGAGAGATCTCCAGGAAAGTTTCCTGGAGGTACTCGGTAATTCTCTGCTGAAGGTTCCATGGCAGAGCAGCTTTGTTCCTTCCCCCATTGTAGGAAACTTTCCTGCGCCATTCGGCAATTATTTGTGCGGGGACCAAAGCAGCACACTAGCGAGCAGCATGGGGAGCAGGGTGGAAGCCAAAAGCATGTAGTAGATGTACCTTCATTTCCCTTCTTACCCTTAGCAGTGAGATGTCTTCTAGATTGACCCTTGCCTGTGGAAAAGTGTGGGAGAATTTTAGAATTTTTTCCCTAGTTAGCTGCATCACAACCCTTGCAGAGTGAGTGCTCTTTTCCCCATACAGAGCCCCCTTCCCCTCATCAACACTCACCATGCTTTGGGTGTTCGCAGAGATGTGTGCTTGCCAAGGGTCAGTGAGAAAGTGATTGTTATGTTGCAAAGGGTGTATTTTACTGAAATGTTTCAATGCCGTGAGTGAATTTAACAATGATGCTTCTGTGCATTGTTCCTTGTGCTTCGGCAGATGTGGCCTTCAGAAACACCCCACACACACTGGCCGAGCGTCTCTGCCACATAAGAAAGCGCCCAAGAAAGAACAAAGAAGACATGTTCTAGCAGGTACTGCACTCCTCCAATGCAGAGAAAAGGGAATGCAAGGAGTACTGGGAAGCCGAAAGGCAGGAGAGAAAAGGAAATCAGGAGTTTGTTAAGGACACTACTGAGCAGGTGATTCAAGTAATGGAGGAGCAAACGCAAACGCTGAAGTCCTTAATAATGCTGCAGACTGAGCGGATCCATGCCTGCCCTCCCCTGCAGCACATTCAGAATTCTTTTCCATGTCCCCTGCCCCAAAACTCCGCCTGCACAGTCCTTTCCACTTTCTGGGACTTCTAGGTTTCCTCTTCACTCCACCCCTTCAGACAACTTTCGTAATGATAGCTGGACCTCCACACAGCTCTGAAAGTCTGCCCTTTCCTGGTACCTCCTTTCCCACCAAGTATCTTTGTGTGTTTGTGTGTTTCTGTGTGCTGTTTCTTGTGCAATAACAACAAAGTTTTTGAATGGTAACTCATCTTTGTTTGTTTTCTACAAACTGAGAAAGCAGGCAATGCCAACACATATCCAGGCAGTTTATTCATGTGCTTGCTGGAATGTAAAGCCCCAAATGCCACTGTTACTTCCTAGGAAAACTACATGTAATGTGAACGAGGAGTACTTGTGGCATCTTAGAGACTAACAAATTTATTTGGGCATAAGCTTTTGTGGGCTAAAACCCACTTCATCAGATGCATGGAATGGAAAATACAGTAGGAAGATATATATATATATATATACACACACAGAGAACATGAAAAGATGGGGATTGCCATACCAACTCTAATGAGATAAATCAATTAAGGTGGGCTATTATCAGCAGGAGAAAAAAAACTTTTGTAGTGATAATCAGGATGGCCCATTTCAAAACAGTTGACAAGAAGGTATAAGTAACAGTAGGGGGAAAAATTAGCATCAGGAAATAGTTTTTAGTTTGTGTAATGACCCATCCACTTCCAGTCTTTGTTCAAGCCTAATTTGATAGTGTCCAGTTTGCAAATTAATTCCAGTTCTGCAGTTTCTCATTAGAATCTGTTTTTGAAGTTTTTTTGTTCACAGTTAGGGAAACCCATTTCTGCAAAGCCATCCACTATTTCACACAAGTTTCCCAGAGTCACGGTTCTTCATAGCAGGATGCAATTAATTGCCCTGCACACTTGCATTAACGCAGCCCCAATGGTCGACTTCCCAACTCCAAACTGATTTGCAACTGACCGGTTGCAGTCTAGAGTTGCCAGCTTCCACATATCGATTGCCACAAACTTCTCTACCAATAGGGCAGCTCTCATTCTGGTGTCCTTTTGCCGCAGTGCTGGGGCGAGCTCTTCACAGAGTTCCAGGAAGGTGGCTTTCCGAATCCGAAAGCTCTGTAGCCATTGCTTGTCATCCCAGACCTGCACGATAATATGATCCCACCATTTAGTGCTTGTTTCATCAGCCCAAAAACGACAGTCCACTCTCTGTAGCTGTTCTGTGAATGCCAAAAGCAATCTAAAGTGCTCCTATCCACATCCGACAGCATGTCAGGCGACTGGGAATCTTCTTCACTTAGGAACTTCGTGATTAACTGCATTGCCATCCGTGATGTCTTCATGACAGTTAACAGAGCATAGGATAGCACTGCAGAATTCATCCCTTCTCACAAAGATGCTGGGGTGCACAGCAAAGAAGGCTGTTGAAAAATGCCACAAAAGAAAGTCGGAAGCCCATGGAGTCCTGGGACTGAAAGCAATGCATTATAGGACATTGAGCCTGGTCCCAAGATGCGCCGCGATCCGCTCTGCCATCCCACAACACCTAGCGACAGACGGTGCCAAACTGAACTGTGGGATAGGTACCCACAGTGCATTGTTCACACTGTCGATGATAGTGCCCAAATTGTGGGCATGCTCTGCCGACAAAGAGAGCAAGTATGAACATGACATTCCGATTTTTATTAAGCCGATTTTTGAGTACTGACATCATTTTTATCAACAAAACTTAGTAGTGCAAACAAGGCCTAGGATTTGTGGCACTGCTTGTGACAAGGAAAGGACTAGTTATTATTAAAGTGATTCATTCCAGCTCTTTTGATTTGGAGCATGCTCTTTGATCTCATTCCAGATGTGTGAAATTGAACAGTAGCTTCCTACAGAGAATATTTATTATTAGAGAATCTGTGTCATTTCAGGGTGATCACTAGAAAGCATTTTTAACTGCAAAACTTGAACGTGGTCCATATCTAAGCACGAAGAGGAGATCACACTTACAAATTGACTTGCAGTATACCTTCAAACAAAAAAGCAAGATGAAATATGTATATATATATTTTTTTAATATATTTTACCTGAAAAATCAACAGCACAAACACCATACTGGTGATAGCCCTTTAATACTGACAGTGGTTTGATTGTCTCTGTATCCCAAATGTGTATTGAGGAATCTCGACCAACCTAAAATATAAAGGATTTTAGGCATTCTTTTGTATCATATTTTGTATTTTTGCTCAAAATAATAATTTTACCTTAAAATTTTAATTACATCAGTAAATAAACTGAAAAAATTAAAGTGATGATGTACTTCTCCCTCCCACCTTGTCTATAAAATACCAAATATTATTGTAGTCCTAAAGTATCAACATGAAAATTCTCCCTCCTGCCTCGCACCTGTCACTCCCATGGCTGGCCCTAAGGAAGAACTTGAAAAAATTACCTACAATTAACTAAACCTTATAATGGAATTCTACACTGAAAAGAGTATATTGTGGGAGGGTTGCATGTTTATTGTCTCAGTTATTTCTATGTCAGTTGTTTTCAGTTTACAAATAAAACTACTAGCTTGTAAACTACTCTACGCTCGAGAGCCAACATAACTTCTTTCCTTTTCATGCATCATTACCAGTAATAAAGGTTTTGCAGGTCAAATTATGTGATACCAATGCAATTCTATTACTTTCAGTAAGTTTGCAGCAATGCAGATGACTCAAATTTAGGATAATAGTCTCTTGGTGTCAAGAATATTTTCTTTTAGCTATGTTGAGCATGCAGGCATTACTAGTCTTTAGTTATCTGATCACTTACTATTTGTTCTACAGTATCTGTGCCTCATTCAATACACAAAATGGCAGTGAACGAGGCAGACAGCTGCAGAAAGACAAAGGGCATTCCAATCTGGTTTAAGGCACCAGACTGGTCCCTAGGGTTCTACTTGGTTCTGCCACATATTTACTACATGATGTCAGGCAAGCTTATCCTAATGCGCATACCTGGGGGGGGGGGCTGAATCAACATTTTATGGGCAACCTTAATTATAACATTTCTTAATTTAGTGCCTGACTTTACAATCTTAATGTTGTTTTAATACATATTTTAGAATCTACTATATCTTAGGTACATTTTTATTCAAATATTTTCACCTTTAAAAACGTGTACTATATAAAACAAAGAGGTTTACTGTATAATCAAAAATCTCTGACTAGGCCAAATTGTTTGCATTAATCTCAAACATATTTGTAAATTCTGGACAAAAAGTATTACCAATGTAAGGGTAAATTCTTTACTGAGAATTTGGTGAGCTGTCTAGTTAATAATCATTTGTCTTTATCTATACCAACAGTTTCTTAGTCTCTGAGTTCACTAATTAAAACTCAAAATATTCTCTCAAGATCAAGCCATAAATTCTTGACGTGAGAACAAAGCTTTTGAAAGAAGATGTTTATCAGAAAAGGATGCCTGTGAAAAGTACTAAAGGTATGTACTGTCTGTAGATTGATAAAATAGCATCTTATTGTAAACAATAACAGCACTGAGATTTTGAGCATACATATAGAATTCAGACAGATGATAATATAAAACAGTCTAAACTGGAAATCCAGAGTATGAGAAAATTTGCTTTTGGCAGCTACCTTTAACAATGTAAAAATGTTATTTGTATTCAGTTTTTTTCTATATGTTATCTTACAGTGGCAACACAATATAATGTTGATTTTTAAAAAATAAAATAAAAATGTAAATGTATTCATGCTCATTTGAGAGTTAATCAGTTATAAACTCAGTCAGTTGTCAAAATTGATGAAATATATCTAACTGGAAAGAAGTAGGGCTGTGGATTAATCGCAGTTAACTCATGTGATTAATTAAAAAAAAGTAACTGCGATTAAAAAAATTAATCGCGATTAATCGCACCGTTAAACAACAGAATACCAATTGAAATGAATTACATATTTTTGGATGTTTTTCAACATTTTCAAATATATTGATTTCTATTACAACACAGAATAGAAAAAGTGTACAGTGCTCACTTTATGTTATTTTTATTACAAATATTTGAACTGTAAAAATGATAAACAAAAGAAAGAGTATTTTTCAATTCACTTCATACAAGTAAACTGTAGTACAATCTCTTTATCGTGACAGTGTAACTTACAAATGTAGATTTTTTTTGTTACAAAACTGCACTCAGAAACAAAACAATGTAAAACTTTAGAGCCTACAAGTCCATTCAATCCTACTTCTTGTTCAGCCAATTGCTAAGACAAACAAGTTTGTTTACATTTACGGGGGCCTGCTCACTACTTCATATTTACAGTGTCACCTGAAAGTGAGAACAGGTGTGTCATAAATATAAAGGGAAGGGTAAACCCTTTTGAAATCCCTCCTGGCCAGGGGAAAGCTCCTCTCACCTGTAAAGGGTTAAGAAGCTAAAGGTAACCTCGCTGGCACCTGACCAAAATGACCAATGAGGAGACAAGATACTTTCAAAAGCTGGGAGGAGGGAGAGAAACAAAGGGTCTGTGGCTGTCTGTATGCTGGGTCTTTGCCGGGGATAGACCAGGAATGGAGTCTTAGAACTTTTAGTAAGTAATCTAGCTAGGTATGTGTTAGATTATGATTTCTTTAAATGGCTGAGAAAAGAATTGTGCTGAATAGAATAACTATTTCTGTCTGTGTATCTTTTTTGTAACTTAAGGTTTTGCCTAGAGGGGTTCTCTATGTTTTTTTAATCTAATTACCCTGTAAGATATCTACCATCCTGATTTTACAGGGGGGATTTCTTCATTTCTATTTACTTCTATTTTTGTTAAAAGTCTTCTTGTAAGAAAACTGAATGCTTTTTCATTGTTCTCAGATCCAAGGGTTTGGGTCTGTGGTCACCTATGCAAATTGGTGAGGCTTTTTATCCAACATTCCCAGGAAAGGGGGGGTGCAAGTGTTGGGAGGATTGTTCATTGTTCTTAAGATCCAAGGGTCGGGGTCTGTAGTCACCTAGGCAAATTGGTGAGGCTTTTTACCAAACCTTGTCCAGAAAGTGGGGTGCAAGGTTTTGGGAAGTATTTTGGGGGGAAGGACGCATCCAAACAGCTCTTCCCCAGTAACCAGTATTAGTTTGGTGGTGGTAGCGGCCAGTCCAAGGACAACGGGTGGAATATTTTGTACCTTGGGGAAGTTTTGACCTAAGCTGGTAAAGATAAGCTTAGGAGGTTTTTCATGCAGGTCCCCACATCTGTACCCTAGAGTTCAGAGTGGGGGAGGAACCTTGACAATTTACAGTGTCACCTGAAAGTGAGAACAGGTGTTTGCATGGCACTTTTGTAGCTGGCATTGCAAGGTATTTATGTGCCAGATATGCTCAACATTCATATGCCCCTTCATGCTTCGGCCACCATTCCAGAGGACATGCTTCCATGTTGATGATGCTCTTCAAAAAAATAATGCGTTAATTAAATTGGTGACTGAACTCCTTGGGGAAGAACTGTATGCCTCCGTTCTGTTTTACCCACATTCTGCTATATACTTCATGTTATAGCAGTCTCGGATGATGACCTAGTATATGTTCGTTTTAAGAACACTTTCACAGCAGATTGGTACTGTCTTTGCGTTTTGTCAAATGTGAGATTTCTAAGGATACAGCACTCAACCCAACGCTTAAGAATCTTAAGTGCCTTCCAAAATCTGAGCAGGATGAGGAGCAGAGCATGCTTTCAGAAGTCTTAGAAGAACAACACTCCCATGCAGAAACTACAGAACCCGAACCACCAAGAAAGAAAATCAACCTTCTGCTGTTGGAATCTGACTCAAATGATGAAAATGAACATGCGTTGGCCCTCTCTGCTTTGGATCGTTATCGAGCAGAACCCACCATCAGCATGGACGCATGTCTTCTCGAATGGTGGTTGATGCATGAAGGGACATATGAATCTTTAGCGCATCTGGCATGTAAATATCTTGTATGCCAGCTACGACAGTGCCATGCGAACACCTGTTCTCACTTTCAGTTGACATTGTAAACAAGACGTGGGCAGCATTATCTTGTGCAAATTGTAACCAAACTTGTTTGTCTGAATGATTGGCTGAACAAGAAGTAGGACTGAGTGGACTTGTAGGCTCCAAAGTTTTACATTGTTTTATTTTTGAATGCAGTTATTTTTTGTACATAATTCTACATTTGCAAGTTCAACTTTCATGATAAAGCGATTGCACTACAGTACTTGTATTAGGTGAATTGAAATATACTATTTCTTTTGTTTTTTACAGTGCAAATATAGAGAGCACTGTACTCTATGTATGGTGTTGTGTAACTGAAATCAATATATTTGAAAATGTAGAAAATATCCAAAAAATTTTAAATAAATGGTATTCTATTATTGTTTACCAGTGTGATTAATCACAATTAATTTTTTTAATCACTTGACAGCTCTAGAAAAAAGCTGAGGTTCTCAATTTTTAGACCTCTCTCTGTCCCCAACACAATTTCAAAAATTTACCTGCATATTTGTAGACTGCAAAATCCTAAATATGCATGTGTAAATTCACTAAAGTACTGTAATTTCAAATTTCTAATGCATATAAACATTTATCCTACCTGGCCTGTTGCCACGTAGTCCTTTAAGGGATGAATAGCAAGGCAAAGAATGTCATCATCATGACCCAGATAAAAGCGCTGTGTGTTCTGCTGCCGATTGTATACTACGCCCACTGCTGCAACATGGTATACAATTTCACCAGTCTGAGTGTAAAATAGATTACTCCGACAATCATAACCTCTGTAACTAATTAAAAAAATAGTTTTTAGATCAAGATCACAAGCATAGATGCTAAGTAGTTAACGATATAAAAACAATCAGGACACATTCAATTCTTAAATTAAGTAACACCTTACAAATGATTTACCAAGTACTACACAGGAGTATTAAAAATGATTCATATCTCTATTTCCAAAGAATACTACTTTACAAACTTCAATTAATATGCAAAGATCATTACATCTACCCCTAACTTGAAAGAGATTGTTTTTTAACAGTAATGCTTCAAAAGAAGTTTAGAACAGGAAGTAAAGACTAATATTTTTTTCCAAATGAAACTGCAGGGGGACTTTAGGTAGATTGCATGCAGTTGTACAGGTTGGAATTTGTCCAGAATACCAGGCTTAACATTTTCTTTCTACATCACAAGTGGTTAGGATCCTGGGTGAATTTGGTCAGGAGTTTTCAGTCAAAATGATTTTTCAGTGGAAAATGCATTTTATTTCAGGTTGGTTCAACCCATACCAAAACATTTCAGTTTGTTGAACTGAACTAAAAGATTTTGTTTTGAGTCAGTTTAGTGTTCAACTACATCTGCCTGTGCTACTCCAGTGCTTCATGCTTCATTCTGTCTTAAAGGCTAGAGTCTGGGGCTGGACTTCATCTCTCTTGATGCACCATAGTTTCTCTTTTGATCCAACTGTGTGGTGCATCCTGGGAGTCATGTGACTGTGGATGCATCATGGGAGATGCAGTCCAGTTGATAAGGGAAAATGAAAGCATGAGGCACCCAAAATACAACTCCCAGAAGGAAATGCAGCACCACAGGCAGATGCAGTTGTCCAAAAGACTCAAAATAAAGCATTTAGTTTCAATGAACTTGTCAAAACAAATAATTTTGCCATCTCAAAATCTAAATCTTTGGAACTTTTCTTTCAAAGATTTGGATATTTCAATTTTTTTGTCCTGATTTGACACAGAAACAAACATTGAAATATTAGAATTTCTTACAGGACAGAAATTCTGGTTTTTATTTAGCGCTAGTCTTTGGTTTTGAGTGTAGCTCATAATTCAGTAGGTGGTACTTTGGTTTACTTCTGGGTCAAAACAATACTCTAGCGGCAAAGGGCTCCATTACCACAATGCTGGAGTATTGTTTTGAGCCAGTAGTCAACCAAAGTGCCACCTACTGATTCATGCAGTACTGAGGAGTTGCAGTACCTGAGTTACTTCTTGTGGTATCAAGGAGTTTCTTGGAGTCTATCATTCAAGTAGTGAGCCAAAACCTACTTAGTCTGTGAAATCTAAGAGGATCACAGAACAAGATATTATGATGACTCCAGGCAGTATATCTGTGTCATGATCAGAAATAAAAATACCTTTACTGTAAGTACATACTGAAAAATGACACGAAGGATTTATCGTGCCATCAGAACCCCAAAACATCTACTGGCTGGCTTCTTCCCAATGTCAAAGATCCTTTTGCCATCACCAATCTGATGGCTGGCTCCTCCCAGAGGAACTCCTTCTGACACCTATTCAAGGATGCCTCCCCTCTTCACTTTCTCATTCCAGAAACCCACTTTGACTCCTTTGCTTAGGCTGGCTCCATTGCTCTTTATCTAGCTCGGTAAGTATGCAATAGCCATCAAAGTGCACATGCATGGTTTTTACTACCGTCATTATGCTGATGATTCAAAAATCTACCCCTCTATTGATAAGTTATCTCCCTTCATCCAATGTAGTATCTTGGTCTGTCTTTCTGACATCTCTTTGTGGGTGTCAAGTTGGCATCTTAAGCTCAACGTAACCAAAACTGAGCTCTTGGCCTTTCCCCCCAAGTCCTTCCTCTGCTCCCACTCTCTAACACCGTGGTCAATTCTATCATCACCCCAGTCATTCAGGTGTCAGTTTTCACTTGGTCTTCTCATTGCACCCACACATTCAAGCCATTTATAAATCTTGCCTCCTTTTCTTAGGCAGCATCTCTGATATCAAGCCTTTCCTCTGACTACAAAGTGAAAACTCACATCCCTTTATCAACATGTCATGCCTTCCCTATTACAACTTTTCTACACTCCTCCAGTCTATTTAGAATATTGCTGCTGAAATAATCTTTGAGGTTTGTCACTCTGACCAAATCAACCTCCTCTTTAAGTTTCCTCCACTGGCTACTCATTCAGCTCCAGATCAAATACAAGCTTCTTGTTTTAAACTTTAAGGACATTTGTAACTTAATCCTGTTGTAGCTATCTGATCTAGTTACCAATAGTGATGCACCAGCATTTCCAGCTTTTGTCTCCCAAAAGTTAGTTTCTCCATTAAATATCTCCATGCTTACTCCCATGACAGTTATCTGTAATTATGATTTAAGTTTGTATTCTATAACATCAGAAGGTAATCTGTCTTATTTGAACCATTGACACTCATTACAGATAACACACAGTGAGGCTACCTGCCTCACTGTAAAGTGACTATTCACAGGCAGCAGGAAAGGCACATTCAGAAAATATGTAAAGTTCTTTTGAAAAGCAGACTTAAGCATACAACTCAGAGCAACATGTTGATTTATGTTTTGAGCATTCATTGCTCTCAATTACTTGTGAGGAAACTTATATAACTTCACGAACAAGTTTACATCTTCTGTAGATCCAACAAGGAGAGGTTATTTAACAGCAGTCACTATAGTTCTTGGAGAATACTGACTCTACATGTTCATGCTGTGGAGATGTGCTGTCAGCACTGCCCAGCTTTGGAAACTTCTCTGCCCACTGGACAGTGCATGAACAACCCACAGCAGACCCTTAACTCCCTGACTCCAGCGCTTGCTCCTCACTTTGCTTTCTGTTTAAAGATAGACGAAAGCAGAACATTATTTGGTCCCTCCAAGTTACTGAAGTCACCATAAAAGGCCCAGGAATTTAAGAAAAAGAATTAGAAAAAATTACAGCTACAAGATATATAAAACGTAAGTATTAATAAAAAGTGTCTGCAGAGACTTGGAGTGGTCCCTCTCTGTCAGCGTCAGAGGGAGGCCACTTCGCCTCGCTACACCACCTAGCAGCTGAGAGCTGATCAACAGGGAATTACAACAGTAAGTCAGTAAAGAGTCTAGGGCGCTGGCCCCTCATGACAGAACAATTGGCAACCTTTAGAACAGCCCCCTGGCTTGGGCAGACAACCACCACAATCAGGCTCAGGCCCTCTGGGCCGGGCAGAGCAATAACAGTCTGGTTGGAGCAGGCAGCAAGCAAGTCAGGCTCCACCCTCTAAGCAGGTAAACAGTAAACAGTCAGGCTCAAGCCCTCTCAGAGGGCCAAGAAAAATAAGTCTATGGCCCAGCTCCTTGGCTGGGCAGATTGCAAACAAATGCAGACCATTTGGCCCAAGGTGGGTAGCCTGCCACCCCAGGGTGGGATTGGCAGCAGTGGGTAGGGGGACCCGGGCCCACCCTACACCACCAGGTCCCAGCCTAGGACCCTAACAGTGGTGGGAAATCCCACCACTGAGTCAGCGGGGATCCTGTCAAAACACGCTGACCATGGTTTCAGCAACACAACTGGACTAATGTCTGGTTTCCCTGGGCCACTTCCTACCCATACGTGTTCATAGGGCTTAATCACCCATGGGCCCTCAGGCTCCTTGGGATACTCCGCCACCGGCAGTTCCAACAGCTTCTCGGGGTATTTGCCTGGCGGCAGCTCTTCCAGGTATTACTTCAGAAGCAAGGGTTGATACAGCTCAGTTGCTGGTTCAGGGACCAGCAACAAGGCAGCAACATCCAACTCCTTCCCTGGCTCTCCCTCAACAGAGCTGGAGGCTCTGCCTCTTATACTTCTTGTTCTACCCCTCTGCTTCCAGCACAAGCGATGGGACCAGCCTGGCTCTGCCCACCTCGGGGCTGGGAGTCCTCCCCGTCAGAGTCAGAGGGAGGCCACTCTGCTTTGCTACGGTGTCCTAGTGCAAAACAGTTTAGAGATGGTTGGATATTTGAACCAGGATTTGGTGAATCAGACTCAGTAATGGAACAATTCTACCCAGAGCAGAGTCTCCTATCTATTTGTCAGACTCTGACACAAACAATTCCAATGTATGGTTTACAGTTAATGAATGATAATGTGGTCTAGAAGTGACTAGATGAAGCCAAAGGAATCAAGCAGGAGAAACATCAAGATGAAACTCCAGAACCCAACTCTCTGACCTAGAGAAGGATGAGCTGGATTCTGAGAGACTCCTTGGGACCACTAAAGAAAAGCAGCCATACAGATTTCAGAGTAGCAGCCGTGTTAGTCTGTATTCGCAAAAAGAAAAGGAGTACTTGTGGCACCTTAGAGACTAACCAATTTATTTGAGCATGAGCTTTCGTGAGCTACAGCTCACTTCATCGGATGCATACCGTGGAAACTGCAGAAGACATTATATACACACAGAGACCATGAAACAATACCTCCTCCCACCCCACTGTCCTGCTGGTAATAGCTTATCTAAAGTGATCATCAAGTTGGGCCATTTCCAGCAGAAATCCAGGTTTTCTCACCCTCCGCCCCCCCGCCCCCACAAACTCACTCTCCTGCTGGTAATAGCCCATCCAAAGTGACCACTCTCTTCACAATATGTATGATAATCAAGGTGGGCCACTTCCTGCACAAATCCAGGTTCTCTCACTCCCTCACCCCCTCCAAAAACCACACACACAAACTCACTCTCCTGCTGGTAATAGCTTATCCAAAGTGACCACTCTCCCTACAATGTGCATGATAATCAAGGTGGGCCATTTCCAGCACAAATCCAGGTTTTCTCACCCCCCCCCCCCCCCGGAAACACACACACACACACACACAAACTCACTCTCCTGCTGGCAATAGGCTCATCCAAACTGACCACTCTCCAAGTTTAAATCCAAGTTTAACCAGAATGTCTGGGGGGGGGGGGTTAGGAAAAAACAAGGGGAAATAGGCTACTTGCATAATGACTTAGCCACTCCCAGTCTCTATTTAAGCCTAAATTAATAGTATCCAATTTGCAAATGAATTCCAATTCAGCAGTTTCTCGCTGGAGTCTGGATTTGAAGTTTTTTTGTTGTAAGATAGTGACCTTCATGTCTGTGATTGCGTGACCAGAGAGATTGAAGTGTTCTCCGACTGGTTTATGAATGTTATAATTCTTGACATCTGATTTGTGTCCATTTATTCTTTTACATAGAGACTGTCCAGTTTGACCAATGTAAATGGCAGAGGGGCATTGCTGGCACATGATGGCATATATCACATTGGTGGATGTGCAGGTGAATGAGCCTCTGATAGTGTGGCTGATGTTATTAGGTCCCGTGATGGTGTCCCCTGAATAGAGTGGAGTGTAAGTACAATATGCACCATAAACAAAGCACCACAAAATAAATGGACAGCTGCATTCTGAATTAGCTGAAGTTTCCAAGTCATCTTCAAGTAATGCTTCAAGTATAACATACATAAGTGAGGCTATATGGAGGTGACAAGGTATGGGTTGTGGTGACAGTCACTTGCAAAAGAAAAAAATAACCTCCTCATAAAATGAATATTTACAAAAACTGATTGCTGCTATCTTGGCATCTAGAACAAGCTGAAGAGCCAACATGATCCCAAGTTTGCGAACACCAGGTTTCAAGTTACATATTGTTATTCAAACATGGGCAATATCAGTAAATGCCTTGTCCAGAAGTTATGAATAAACAATTGAATAACACTGGTCCGCAAACCAATCCCTGAGGTATTCTACTAGTAACCTCTCACCAGTCTGATACCTCACCTTTCAGCACAACCTACTGCGTTTTCCCTGTTAGCCAGTTCCTTATCCACCTTACAATTCTAGTACTGATCCCCATCCTCTCTAATTTGACAAATAATTTCCTATGTGGTACTGTTTCAAATTCTTGAACTGAAGTCCAAATATATTAGACCTACTGCATTTCCTTTATCTAAGAAATCAGTTATTTTTTCAAAAAAGGAAATCAGGTAGTCTGGCATGATCTACCTTTGGTAAATCCATGTTACATTACACCCCCTTTACCATTAATTTTATTATTCTTTCCTGAATAATTTGCTCTAAAGCCTTGCATACTACTGAGATAAGACAACCAGAATTGTAATTTCCCAGATCACTTCTTTTCCCTTTCTTAAATGTAGATATCATATTAATTATTCTCCAGTCAAATGGCACTACTCGCAAATAAAGAACTATTAAACATCCTTGCTACCAGACTAGCAAACCCACGTGACAGTTCTTTCTGTATTCCATGATGAACCTTCCACCTTAGATGTGGTGATTTCCATTTTTAGCACTCATTTCCTTCAGCTGTATTGCCTTCATGCGCATGTTCCATGTTAGCATCCTTATTGATAACTGAGGTCAAGTATTCATTTAGTTTTGGGGCTATACCTAGATTTCCTTTAAACTCCTTCGCATCCACACTGCATAGCAGCCCAACCACACCCTTCATTATTCTCTTTTTATTTATATAACTAAGAAACCTCAATATTTATTTTAATTTCCTTGGCAAGAGCTAATTCAGTTTGACTTGTAGCAAATTTCACTGACATGTTCTAACCTCCACAGTGTAGCTTTCTTTGCTGATCAACCCCTTTTTCCATTTCCTATAGGGTCTCTGTTTACTTCTAATAACCTTTTTGACGTGGTTATTCATCTAACTTGGTTCACAACTTTCCTTAAAAGTTTTTTCCTTTGCTGGGAATGCCAATTTCAGATAATTTTTGAATAACTGATTTGAAGAAATGTCATGCCTCCTACTCATTTGAGTCCTTAAGCTGTTCAGTCCAGTTGACTTCCTTGATTAATTCCCTTAATTTCCCAAAGTTCACTTTTTAAAAATCATGTCAGAAACTAACCCTAGAGGAAATCTCTGAAAGGTGTCTAGTGGCATTGACGGTGGAGAGCATCACTCTTATTTGACAAAATTTGCACACTACCATCATGACCTTCGTAATATGCATTTATCAAACCTCACAAAGCAGATCTCCATTCTGCCACAGAGTCATTGTTTGGTAGGAAGTGCAATATTAGTTGGTTTCCATATACTTCCTTAAAGTTTTACATAGCTTTTGTTTAATACAGGGAGGAAGTTATATTTCTGCCTATTATTCTAATGTAATAACTGTAATATTTCCTTAATTCCCTCCACTTCCTTTCTCTTGATAGAAATACTTTCAGTTATGAAAACTAATGGGGAAAAAGTACTATTAATCCTGAAAAAATATTAAAATATAGCCCAGGTACAAGACTTCACTGAGCTTTAACAATCTGGAAAGTATGAAGTATTATTCAGTTACTGAGTTTATTAGAAGCAAAAAAGATGTGAAAATGGGTATGAAGTTTCTTAAAGGGCTAATTTTGAATTAAATTAAATTCCTAAATTAATAGATTTACTTGTAAATTCTCCAAAAATTAGTTCTCTAATCAAAGAGTATGTGCTGAATTTTGGGGAGGACACACTATATTTTTCTTAGATAACAAAGAGGCTGATACCCTGCTTTAAGTAGAAAACTCAACTCAGTCTTAACTACAGAGTCCCTGGTAAAGCCAGAGAAAGAGAGATTCATTCCCAGATGCAGAAAAATATGGTTAGGTGACATTCAAGTCTTATATTTAGACAGCACTATAAAATAATGACACACCAACTGAGTTACCAGTAGGAATTTTATGGTGTAATCTAGCTGGGCAGCAAAACCACTGCTGTATATATATTTAGTTTAAAGACTTGTGTGTCTGTAAAAAGTGTCTAAAACACAGCATCTGATCTTAATAATTTTAAATTGGTTCATCACATATTTAAATCTTACATTTCTATTTTTGTTGCCACAAATTTATAACAGAAAATGAATCTGTCCAGTCTGCTTTTAGAGAAAACTCAATTTTTCATACCCATGAACAAAGTGTAATCTTATACTGTTCCCTGGAGCTCTCTCTCTTCTTTTAGAAGCTGCACTTTTTCGTTTTTCTTTGCATTGCTCTTTAAGCTGAGGTAGATCTTCTTTGTAAACCTTTATGAAAGAGTACACATATATATAAACAAATATGTTTTCAGGAAGAACAAGTATCTGAGAAATAAACCTATAGATCAGTTCAGTTTTCCACAAGAATGGCACAATGACATTACTGCAGACATTTGCAATGACTGTAGCCAACTGGGTATACAATTTCTTTTTAAATTACAAACCATACAGCATGATATGAAGTGTTGTGAATACATCCAGCCACTGAGCTTTCTGTTATCTTTCAATGTGTCAGCTACTGGCAATGGGCTAAATCCTAACATCCTTGCTCAATTTCTATTCAGTCCTTACTCAGGTAAAACTCCCATTGACTTCAGCGCTTTTCTTGAGAAAGGACCAAGTAAACCCTTGGGAAATATTTCAGAATTTGTCCCTGTGCCAGTAAAACTCAAGTCTTACCTGTCGACGGTATGTGATCTGAGTCTCTTGTTCAATTTCAGAGTCTAGCTCTGGAACATCAGATTGATCTGAATCTGATTCATCACTGTTAGAATCAACCAGACTTTCTGTGATCAAGAAAACCAAAACGTAGATGGAAACAATTAATTAAAATAGCGCATGGTTCAGAAAAATACAACAACACTTCTGACTTATGCCTGACTGCTGATATTTACCACAACATGAGCTACTAAACCATGAAAAGATCATCTGAAATTATCATCAATACTCCTAATACAACAGTACTTTCAAATTTGGACTGCATGCTTTTTTCTTACTTTTTGATAGCTAGGCTTCACATATTAAACTCACTTCACAGGCAGTGTGGTCCAGTGGACTGGGAACTTAACTGGAAGACAGAAGACCTAGGTTCCATTCTTGGCTCTGTGAATGACCTAAGTGAACCTGGGCAAGATGTGTCTGTACCTTAAGTTTCCCCTACTGATGACCTCTCGTGGTCCCTTCCAGCCCTACATTTCTCTGATTCTATAATATGTATGCACAAAAGCAGTTTTTTGTAGATACAAGTTTATTCACCTTTGAATATTGGAGCCAGTGCATCTTATTTACTTTTGGGAGCAGATTCCAGAGGCATGGGTCCTCCAATGACAATGTGTTGTTACCAGATACATAAAGTTTAAATTCTGGAGCCAACAGTGAGAATGACCCAACAGATTTTAACTTCAGTGGTGGTACAGGAGCAGAAAGCCCCTTTCACATAAATGGATCTTAGATCATTGAGGGATCATAACAAAGAAAGTGAATTACACTCAAATGTAGACTACAGATCTTGGTGAACTGGTGATACGTGCCTGAGACTCTGAAACTCATTGGTGAAGACTAATGTTACATTTGCAACTGCTCGTGTCATTAGATCCTTCCCCATATTATTAGATTCACTTCTGTCTTACTGCAAATGAGCTCTAATAAATTCATTCACATCCATTCTTATTTCCATGAGGCATTGTAAAAACCCAAACTCAGTATCGGAGTGTCACAGGTGGGGTCTGCCCCACAGTGCCACCTGCGGGGTCAAACATAGTGTTGCAGGTATCCCTTTCCTTAGTCCACAAGTTAGGGCTGCATGGTTGGAACAGAGTGGCCTGTGCCATAAGCTCAGAGTTAAATAATTGCAAATTCAGAATCTGACTGTCTGCACCTTTAAATAAACAAATAAAACCTCAAAAGCAAGCACTTAGTTGCCGTGCTAGAAGGCAAGGTCCTGACCTGGCCCTGGGGTTCTGGGCTAGCACTGAAAATCTCCTCATCTGTCCCAGTCTCACCCAGTTCTGACCCTGAAAATTAGCAAACAAGCCTTCTTAACTGGCCTGCTGGCTCTTGATTGGTCAGTGTCTCCTCTTAGCCCTGCTAAACCTCTGGAGGACTGTGCCTTGTTGATAGCCCAGCCTGAGCAAGGACGTATTCAGGGTGATGCCTCCAGCAGGGGGACAGGAAAGGCCTGACAGACTCCATCAGATGGAGTTTGATCAAGTGCACATTTAAGTCATCTGATTATTGGTGGTACTGCCAGAAAAGCATATCATTTGTCTTTCCTAACAGCTGTACGTACATACTGTTTTTCCTAACAGCTGTACGTACAATTAGTTGCAACCTTGTAGGGTCCCCAAGTGTGAGAATGCGAGGAAAAAAGAAAATATTAATCACTCCTTTTTTGGATTTCTCTGCAAAAGTAAACAATCAATAGAATCTAAAAAATTGCCATTAAAACCAACAAAACCAGCATGAATATTTTATTTCTGCCCACTGACAGAAAGAGCTAATCAGTCAGAAAATACTGCCTCCATACTAAAGCCATACTCAAAATCACACTGCTAGGCACAGGGATCAAAGATACATATGTGAGAAGGATGCACCTAGATTGAATGAACTAATAAAATATTGTTTTTTAAAAACTGATTTATTTCAGTGTCACTATTACTAAGGTATTTTATTTGAATGGGACAAATTTCTAGAGGAAAACACAATATACTACAATTGTTTTGCCACAATACCCTTCCAAATAGCAATTTTTTCCTACCCATGATTACCTTTTAGTTTTAAGCATAAAGGCCTACATTTTCAAAAGTGAGTGCTGATTTTGGATACCTCAACTTGTAGGCTCCTGTCTTGAGACACCTGAAAGAAGCCTAATTTTCATAATCACTGAGCACTTACACTTTGAAACTCAGGCAGTCTTTGAAGGTCTCAAGTTGATCACTCAGAAACTGAGTTGCCCCAAATCAGTAGTAACTTTTGAAAATTTAAAACAAAAACTCTTTAAAATTAAGATACTCTTATATTGACTTTAATGGGACTACTCACATATATAATAATAGGCATGGGCATAACAGTTTGTGGATTCGGACCATGAACTGTAAAATATTTATTAGAAGATTAACTGACAGGTCTATGAACGGGTCGGGAGAGAGAGACAGAGAAGACTGTCCTCTGAATATGCCCTGCGCAATAAGAAGTGGGAATGACTTCAGCTAGATCTAAAACTTTACAGAATATTCTCAAAAAACAATGTTACTAAACAATTACGAAATTCTAATTAAAAGAATAAGTATAAAACATCCACTTTTTCCACATACCACTACAAAGTAAGAATGAATTAAAACAAGGCAATTTAAATAAAAGCCTGATTTAATTAAAAGAATGATTTTCTGGAAATTCATGATTTGTATCAAGATCACACACTATATACAATTCCATATTATATTTGTTTGCAAAATAATTAAACAAACATGCTTTTGGGACAAAAAAGTTCTCGTCTCAAGACTGCAACTCAATTCTCGACGTGTCCCATTTAGTCTAGTTTATAGATGTAGAAAGAAACCCCTCGTAAAACGGTTAAATAAAAGTCATTGATATTGTGCATTAATGTTGACATAGATAAATAAAGCTTCAGTCCCACAAGGACTTAGGCGCATGTTTTACTTCATGGACTGTGAGTAAAGTTAAGCACTTGTGTCTTTGCAGGATTGAGATCTAAATCTGATCTTTAACACTAATTATGCAAGTTAGAGATGGGATACTTGAAGGGCCCATAGCTTGCTTCAATTCTAAAAATGAGAGCCTTGATTGAGAAATCTCAAACACATGGGTTAATGCTTTAGAATTTAAATAATTAAATACATGAATCTTAAATCTTATGTCACTGATAACATGCTCAATGAAAGCATATTATTACACATTTCCTCAAGTAACTTAAATAACTCATTTTCAAATACAGTGGCCAACTTTCTAATTTCTGAAAACCGGACACTGAGCACTGGAATCTCTCCCACCTCCTGTACTGCCTCTTCCTAAGAGGCACAGGCCCTGCCCCAGGCCCTGCTCCTTGCTCCACCTCTTCCCCTTGAGGCCCCAGCCCCTGCTCCTCTTCCCTGCCCCACCCACCACTGTTACTTGCTGCTCTCTCCACTACCCTCCCCTTGCCAGCTGAGCAGGGCTTGAGGGGTGACTGGGGCAGGACACTGGAGAGAGAGCCGGGCTCCAGGGGGTGACCGGGACAGGGCAGGTAAGGGAGAGCCGGGCTCCGGGGGTGGAGAGGTGAGTGGGGCAGGGCAGGGAAGGGAGAGCCATGCTTTGGGGGTGGAGGGATAAGTGGGGCAGTGCTGGGAAGGGAGATTTGCGTTCCAGGGGTGGAGAGGTAAGTGGGGAAGGATGGGGGAGGGAGAGCCATGCTCCGGGAGTGGAGAGGTGAGTGGTTCAGGACGGGGAAGGAAGAGCTGCATTCTGGGGGTGGAGGGTGAGTGGGGCAGGACGGAGGAGGGAGAGACACGCTCTAGAGGTGGGAGGGTGACTGGGACATGGCAGGGAAGGGAGAGCCACACTCTGGGGGTGGAAGGGTGAGTGGGCCAGGACAGAGCATAGAGAACCATGCTCTGGGGTGGAGAGGTGAATGGGGCAGGACAGGGCAGGGAGAGCCACGCTTGGCACAGGATGTGGGAGCCGCTGGTACCTCTCTCTGTCAGAGCCATTCCAGAGTGCTCTGCTGCTCCTCCAAACTCCAGCAGAAGCTGTGGCTTTTTCTGACTCCCCCCTCCCCGGTGGTGGTGACCAGTTACTACAGGTAATCGGGCTTTTAGTGTCCGGACACTACCAGGCTCCCTTTTCAACCGGACTTTCCAATAAAAAAATGGACACCTTGCAACCCTATTATAATACTGGTACGTTTATAGTGGTGATGCTTAAAAATCTTCAGTATTGTCTTTGCACTTACAGTGTCACACCCCAATGGCCTCCCTCCCTCAGGGAGTCTCCGGGAAAGGCAGATCAGCATTGTATGTGGCTAACACTGTTGCAGGCATTGCAAAGCATTTTGGGGAGGGTCAAAGGTGTGAGAGTGGAGAGTGGTAATTTCCTTTGCAGAATACAAGAGGCCAGCAGGGGAGAAAGAAGAAGAACAAAGAACGAGTTAACTCAAACCTTCAGCTAGCTCCGTGTGAAGGTAAGACTCTGGCCCTGGCCCAAGGTCACACGCTCGATGAGAAATCAACAGCTGCCCAGCCGTGAGAAGAAGAGAACTAAGTTGAGCAGAGCTGCAGAGATAGCAGTGAGAACAGTGAGAGCAAATGAGATGGCGACAGCAAAGGCCAATAGAAGGGAAAACAAAGTCTCTGGAGCCGGGATGTTTTGGGAAACCGAGGAGGCCACAGCAAGCCGGTTTGGACTGCCACAAAGAGCACCAGAAGCAGAGGTCCCTGAGTGGAATCCCCCCCGCAAGAAGCCCAAGACTGGAGCAACTCGGAGATCCAACAGTGGATCCTCGGACGACCTGGGCCCAGGACACCACTCCCATCCACCCTTCCCCCCCTCTTCTTCTGATGTTACATCCAGGCCTGGCCAATCTCGGGTAGTGCGTGTGTATAAAAGTGGGTTAGGGCGTGGGGCACTAACGCTTTCTTTCTTCCCCTGAATGACGTGGGAACGTTCCCAGCACTCTCTGCTGTTATTTTATTATTTTATCAATAAAGCTTTAAAACTTAGACACTTGATGTGTTCTGTACCTCCTCCCCGAAGATCCTGCGGCATCAGCCTGATCAACTGACATACCAGGCAG